GATAATGTACACGCATACACCATGCACATACATACATCCACGCCACACTACACATACACACACACACACACTCACACGTACATACGTACAACATATATAATACATACATACATACACACATACAAGCACAATGAAGAATTAAATAAAGGCATATTTCAAAATTTTAATCCTAAAATTTCTACATTTCAAAATTTTTCTTCAGAATTCATGAATTCAATAATGAATGATCGTTTATTTAAAAAGAAAAATAAAACAGAAACTATTAGCTAATCATATCAGATAAGTTTGCTTTCAACAACGCATGCTTATCAACTTAAAATTGCGTGCAATACTTCTGAACTTATTCATTTTATGATCAGAATATTAAAAACATGCTTTTTGAATGATAATCGAATTGCAGTCAGCAATAACCAGAAACCAGTAATTACATGTATAGAGAGAAAAACTCGTAGATGTGTGACTTGAAAACGGTAATTTTTCATTCAATTGTTGTACAGTTAGTGGAATCATCTACTAAACCAATCGAGTAAAATGAGGACATTTCCGCAGATGGGTACTGCTACTATTCTTTGACTGTTCAATCTTTTCATGATAACCGAAAAACAAATGCAAAATTTCATCCTTTAATCAATTATTTACATCTATTTTTAACCTAATAAATTACGTTTTAGTCTGATTATTAAGCATGTTTGTAAAAAAATCATATATTATATTATATTATTTATTATCATATTTATAACATTAAAATAGTCAAAACTTTATGTTTTATGTCGAGAGAAAATGATAATTAAATAAAATTGAAACTATTTATTTAGATTTTTCAAAGTGCCAAGTAAATAGTACTCTGTCAATTTAGAAAATTACTTCTATAAGATAGATATTTGCTATTAAACTGTTCTAAACTCTCATCAAAGACAATTTTAAGTAGACAAAATCTGCAACATATATATTTATATAATCATTTGTAATAATCAGTTATGACTGATTGATTATATGAGATTTTCTGTACGACTACAAATTAAACTCAATGTAAGTGATGGTGCTACTTTTTACTTGAAATCAGTAAACTTTCAATGCTATAAAAATGAATTGAAACTGAAGAAAAACTAATAGGATCAGCTTGAAAAGCTTCTATTCCCATTCTCATAGCTAAATTTCTGAAAATATTGACTAAATTGCATAACTCTTTTAAGACACTTCAGAGACAATATCAATTACAGATAATTTATTTGTAATTCAATTTAGTTTTAATGTATTAAAAATTTTACCATTACAATTCTGCAAAAAAAGATTTAATCGCAAATATTGGTAGTAGAAAAAAAGAAGCTGATTGACATATTTTAAAATTGGTAATTATAGTAATTAAAGTGATTAAATGCATATTCATTTATGCTTACTTTTCTAAATTCAAAAAATGTTATAATCCATTAGTGATTACAGTTTTTTCTTGCTCAGAATCTGAGTATACAGTGAATATTTGAAAGCATCATTATGCAAATAAAAAGAAGTCGTATAGAATAACAAATGCTTACAAATATTATAAAAAATACGACTATGATATAAAAGAAAGAGTAGTTCTGCATGCAACCAAATTCGAATATCGGTCAAAAACTGAAAATGTAAAAAAGAAAATGGTGCTAATAACTAAGGTGAAAAAGAGACGAATATTTATATTTATTAGCTGGATAGAGTTTTTCTTTACTTCTCGAACTTAATTAAAACTATAAAATGACAAAAAATTTAAAGACCAATTAAAGTATAGCTAAGATACAAATATAAATAATAAGAATATAATAGAGTTTATTAGAATACTACAAAGTTGCTAAAATGAAGTAAAAGCAAGAATGCGTTGTGAATTGCAAGTTGAGAAGTATGAAAAATGAGAATATAAAGATCATCCAGAGTTAGCGGAAATATATCTCTTCAGTATTTCAGATGCAAGTTTCCTATTCATCAAAATGTAATAATAACCGTTACTGATTTTGATGCAAAATCTTGTGATTTGTTAAGTAGTTCTAAACAGGTGAAATGACGTCAATAATGATATGCTTTTTATTATTTCTTGTTTTTTCAAGTATTTTCCTGCATATAAGATGAAGTATTTGTAAATGCTCAATAATAAATTTTTATAAAAACTTGACCTTAACATGACTAGCAAACATAAAGTGACTTAACTTAAAAAGTTACTTCTTCAACTAACACCTGCACAGATAAGCATACACTTGCATAAACATACATGCGTACAATCCCATACACTCATGTATAAATTTACGCATGCTGACAGACGACCTAAAACACGACGTAAAATAATGCTTACGAAGATACAATTCTTCAAACACTTTCTAATTTAAAAAAAAAGGATTGATACAGTGTTTAGTGGCTCGGCCTGAAGGCTATAACGAGCTAATGCCATCTGACTGAAAGCATTTGAAAATGACTTAATCACGTCAATTGTTTCGCTCGTTTTTTGCACTGGTCATTTGTTTGACTGAGAAATCATTTATTTGTGTTGTGTTTGATAAACAAACAAAGTAATGTGAATTTAGCAAGTTGCATTTATTAGTTTGCCCTTATAAATCTTTTAAAGATTGAATGAATTACAGTTTGAATGATTCAATGAACCAAACAAAAGCATAAATAATGAATTCATTAAATAGGTCAAAACAGTTAAGATACGTTAGTAGGTATACTAAAGTAAATAAAGTTATAGTATTTTTAATTTGAAAATCTAAATTTATTATTGTAAATGTGGTGATGAAAAAAATTGTCGATAAGTTGAAAAGTAAATAGTTAGCTTTTTTTACCAAATAGTAAAAAGCAAAAAGTAGTGAAAAATAAAAAATTGTTTGAAAAATTTTTATGCACTGAGAAAAAAGATCTTATAGATATGAATAATTCAGAAAAGCACACGCTAGCAAGTGTTTGGCGTAAAGTAATTGAACTTTACGATAAATGCTTAAAGATGAAGAAAATGTGTGACGCACAACAGCAATTGTCAAAAGTTACTACTACTAATTTCTACTCAACGATAAATGATAGTTGTAAGAAAGCTTTGAAAATAAGTAATGACTTCTTTATTTGCAATTAATAGCTGATTCTTGAACAATATGGAGTGAAAGGTTTAAGAAAATAAGATTCGAGTATGAAGCAGAATTAATTGAAAGAAAAGTAAATTCGACTTCCTTTCTACAAAATGAAATTAGGTCATTTTTTAAAACTTCATCAAGGATATCTTACAATAAAATTTGTCTCAGTTGTATTATTTTTATACGTTCACTGAAATATATGAAAACAGTATTTGAATGCTAATCAACTGTGGTTATTAGATTTTTGTTAAAGAAAAAGATTAGTTATAAAAAATTCAAATTTTCAAGCAATAAATTGTAAAAACATATCGATATATTATTATAACTTATACAAAATTAAGATTGTTTTTGCAAGAAAAAAAAAACTTATAAATACTAAATAAAACTTGTAGAAATTTTCAAACGAAAAATTTTGAAATAAAGAGTAATGAACTAATTAACTATTCTGAAAGGTCAAAATCATTATTTTTGCAAAAATGGACAGATTCGCATTAAATCCTTTTCAAAACTTAGTATAAATTTACTAGTCTTTTTGTGCAAAGTAAAACTTTTACTTACCATCAGTAATGAAGTGAAGCTCTTCAAGTGCTAAATTAAGTATTCGATTGGCTTCATTCAAGCTTTCATTATTCATCGCGATCCGATTTTTCTGCAAACATTCCTGAATTTAAACACAAATCCAACAAATAGATCATTAATATGCGATAAACATTTTAAGAATATTATAATAAAAGAAAGCAAAATTTCTTTCACTTTAAATACAGTATCTCACATTTTTTTAAATGTACCAAGCATTTGATGAAATAATCAGACTGTAGTGCAAAATGCAAATGAAGGGTAAATTGCTTCGATGAGCATTTGTGATATCGAAAATAATTTTTGCCACATAAATATATTAAGCACTATGGAGAAAAAGCTATATATGCTAGATGTATACAAAGTTTTAGTGAATTGCAATAAATGTCTATCCATTACGGTTTAATATTCTTATTTATTCTTTATAATTTTTTCTAAACAATAGTGACATTTACTATTTCAGTAATTTCTTAATTTACGGTAGCGTACTGCTCATTTATAAATTCAATGCACGCAGTAAAATTGTTGAAACGCATATAAAACAACTAATATATCATGTAGTTCATAAAAGTAACATCTGGTTAGCACATGTAATTATTTGTTTAACAAAAGAAATTCGCATTGGTTAGTTTAAATATGAAAAAGGAATTTTAAAATCCAAAAACAATACTATAATAATATCCGAATCTTACGAATCTTACTTTTACTGCTTTGAATGGATTATTTTTTTAGTAGTTAAATGTATTTTCCATGATACTTCTATTCATATTTGGAATGAAAATTATTATAAACAGCAAATAAGCTTAGCTTTAAAAAATTTAACTACTAAAAAATAATCCATTCCCAATCTGCAAACAGACTTCTAATTTCAGAAATGGAAATAATTAATAATTTAACGTTGTCGAGAGAAGCAAATAATAATGACAATAATAAGAATTTAATTATTTCAGTTAACAAATTAGCCAAATATTACAAGATTGTAATTATTTCACGTAATTTTTCAACGCTATTTAAGTATGAAATTTGATCGGAAGTAAGTAAAAAAAGAGATTAGTTACATCAATTACCACTCAACGAGAAAAGCTATAAGTAATTGAATACTAGGGAAAATATTTTGATTAAAAGCTATCAAATCCAATCAACTTTGAAAATAGGTATAAAAATTGCATGATCCTTTTTTAAATTTTATACCGATAGAGTGTGACTAAATTAGCAAAGAAATGATGATTTTCTCACCTCAAATCAAGCCATATAATCGTATAACTAAATTGATCTACATTCTTTTTAATTATTTCACTCTCATATAAGTAGTAATTCAGCACAACCTTTTTTTGAATTTTTTTAATCAATTATTGCAGCAAAGTTTTAAATACGTGTTGTTATATATTATTACCCTTTTGTTTAGTTTTTATTATTCCAATTTCTATCATGTTATATGAGAAATAATCAAAAATAGATGGCTGGAAGGATGAATATCTGGTCAACTGCATTGATTATATGGCAAAAGTTTTGAAAAGTTAGTAGTAAATGAAAAATTTTATTTTTCTTACTGAACACACATTTTATTAAAATTACCAACATTTTGATGTTAACAGAATTAGCTGCTTTTCTAAACCCTAAATAAAAAACTTTTTAGAAGAAGTAAGATGTTGGTGGAGGAAAAAGGTTGAGGAAAAGGCATTCCATAAAACATTTTCGGACAATTCTTTGTATAAAAAAGAAAACGACCATAATAAAAAATATAAAAATAAATGAGGTCATCAAACAAAAACGTGAGGTGTGTATATATCTGTATTTACACGTTTGCATATGTATTTATGGGCTTATTTTTGTTTTTTAAATTTATATGAATAAATAAGCATAAAATACATAACCTTGCATATTTATTACTACTATAAATATACTGGAGATAAAAGTGTGAGGTAAGATATAGTGTGTGGACAAAAAGTATATAAATGTAGTCGTGATGAATTAGTTTGGGGAAAAAAGGAGCAAAAAGACGATAGGTTAGGTAGAGATGAGAGGTCAAGGTGAGGAGGCAGGGATGGGTTAACATCGATTCTTGCATAATTACTAAAGGGACAGTATGCAAGCAGCATACAATATGTGGTCGAGACGTGCCAGTTCTTTAAGCAGTCAAAAATGCTACATTTAAAGTAGCAATTCAAGCCGCTTTAACTCAGTTTATAAGCAAACAAACTTGTAAGAATGACCAGTGAAATAAATCATTATGAAAAATTTTCAAACATATTACTTCAATTTTCAATCTCAACTCGAAATATAAAAACAAATTGATAAATAAATTTATTGAAAGGTTATAATTGCTTAATACTCAGATATGATGATATGGTAGTAGCAGTAGTAATATTAATTTTTTGAAGGCTCTTTTTTCGTTTTTATTTTAGCAGTATTTTATACCATTAAAAAATGATAAGAAATGGATTACTGGAAAAAATTAGGTTATCAAATTTTTATGCAAAATAAAATTGATTTTATCAGATTAATTAATATTTATTTGTATTTGTACGAAGCACAAAAGTTGAGGCGAAGGAAAACGTTATTGCAACATTGTAAGTAAAAATACAAAAGTTTCTTCAAGTTGTCGTTTTTCAATCATTTGTTTAGAATATGAGTAATGCATTTCTTTATTTATTCATCTTTCTTTAAGTTTGTGATTCAGAACTCTTGCACTTGGAAATTTTGGCTTTTTCAAATAAATGCATAATGTTACAAGTTTTTGCACATCTTCTTATACTGAGTATGATAGTTTGTTATTTTTTTCATTCCTAGCAAAACATTTTCAATGCATTAACAAATTTGAAATGGAACATTATACTTAATATCTATACATGCTGCCTTAAGTATCAATGCATGCAAAGAGATAATGGCACTGTACTGTAATAAGAGCAGACTGATATAAACGAAAATGAATTTTGCGGTAATCATATTCTCTTTTATTTGAAATTTTATTTCAGTAAATTGATAATAAGTAGAATAACAGATATTACACAGAAAAAAGCAAATAACCTATAATTCTACTTCAAATGATTTTGATGAAGGCAAATAAGTGTTTTCGAAGTATTCAGAAATGTCCTCTAATTTGTTTCCACTCTCATAAAAATAAAATATAATTCGCATTCATATTCAGTCATCTAAGCTATCCAACCTTGAGTAAGACAGAGGTTAAAGTTAAATTTTATGTATAATACCACTTTCAAGGTCATAGCTTTTGCACGCAAGTTAGTAACAATGATATATCTAAATTTGCAGAATTTTAAACTTGGCACCGTGTTCTGGAATTGCTTCCGTCATGAAAGATTATATATGATATATATTGAGGCTTTTCAATGCTTTCCATGAAATATGTGCAAAAGGTAGTAATAGTTTGTTTATTGGTATACTTGGATCAGTATTTTTTTTATAAAGCGATTAAAAGAAACAATTAAAGAAATGTTTATTTTTTCTTGTTTCATTTTGCTTGCTATTTTTTGATAAGCATTTTTAAATTTGTATTTTCTAGCACCATTATATATATAAATATAATTGCATCAAGTATTTGTGTACATCTAGATAAACGTTAGATTCGTGCAGCGTGTTTTCCTCGAAGTACGTATTTTGTGTTTTGACACGTTTCGTGAACTCCTTCGAGAATCGTTTCTGCGAGCACGGACGCAATTGCAGTATTCGCTTGTTTCTTCAGTTCTTGAAGGCTAATCGCGCACACGAACTTGTCGCTATACAGGGAACGACACAAGGGCTATCCTCCTCTCGACATTCTCCCGAAAGATCAAGAACCGCCTTTAGCACTTCACTTGGCTAGCTGCTTTACGGAACCTCGATTCCTCGAAGGATAACTTCAGGCGTAATCATACTGCTGGTTTCTGGTTCCTGTAAACTGCTCTCCTACATCTTTCATGGGACTTTTCACAACCTCATCTGCTTTCCCATTGTTTTCTACTGTGATTCCAGATGCAGTTTTTTTCCGCTCATCCTCCATTTTCTTCCCCAACTTCTGATATGACTGTATTCCACACAGCATTCTTCTTTGTGGTTTGGAAATCTCCTTGCGTCAGTTTTTTCTTCCTCTTTATTTGTCTCATGCGTGTCATTCTTCTTTACCTTCTTCCTTTGTCTCGTCTTCGTTGCTTCAGAAGTACTGCAACGAGGGGTTGATGAGCATTATCGTTATGGTCTGTTACTTCTTTTCGTTTCTTGGAAGTCGCCTTTGTTGTGGAAAGTTCTTCAGAAAGTCGTTCCCAGCCACAAATAACTGATCAATTTGAATGCTGGAATGTTTTCTCGTATTACTATCATTTCCACTGTTGTGGCGTCGTTGACTGTCGATATCATTACGTTTGTTGTCGCAACTGTTCGCACTAGTATTTTTACCATTCACTTCCATCGTCGCATCATGATAGCGCCATAACAGACTTCTTTTGTAGAACAGAAGAAGAATAGAAACCAGAAATTACGCGAAAATGTTGTATTTCATCCAAGATCAGGTACAATCTATCGTCTACAATTACCTCATACTTAGGTAATATAATCATATATCTATGCTATATAGAGGTATTTGTTAAGAGAGACTGATAAATCGAAGCATGACTGGATATGGTGTGCATGAACTGTCATCATTTGACTATGGTCAAGCTGGGTTATTCAGTGGATTTGCTACGAGATGTCTTATTCAACCCTTAGATGTTTTGAAAATACGATTTCAGGCATGCATTTTATCATTTTTGTAGTGTGGCACTTCGTTCATTCTTTAAATTAACAAATGTAAAGTCGTTATGCCTTGCAATACTGAATAAATCTCAGGCGATGAAATTCTTCATTTACGGTGCGATAAAAACCAAATTTCGGTTCTTTTATTCCGTCATAAAAGACATCTAAACAGACATTTTGCCTTAATTCACATAAAGTTGTGCAATTGATGATGCATTCTGAGTAGTTTATATCACCCTCAATTTATATTACTTCTCGTAATTTTAAGGTACAGTTAGATCCAACATTTGGTAACACAAGAGGAAAATATCATGGTGTTTTACAAGCTTTATCACGTATCTATAAAGAGGAAGGGCTGACTGCTTTCTGGAAAGGTCATGTGCCGGCTCAAGGAGTGTCTTTAACTTATGGACTTATTCAGTTTACGCTTTTTGAATTTCTTACCGAGCAAACACTTCATATTCCATGTAGTTTTTTCACATGTCGTATGCGCCATTAAAAATTTGTCGTGATTGAAATCCCAGTTGCTGTAATTAAAAAATTTATATGGATGTGGGTGTTTCGAAACAGTTTCTTGCATATCTTATATTTATTTACTAATTTCTGTTGTGTATTTCTCTCGGTATTTATTATAATATATGGTTCAAATTGATCACTTAAGCTGCAAAGAAAAATCGAAAACTGACTGATATAATATGTGGAGCTCTAGCTGGTTCTATGGCTGGAACTGCTGCATTGCCGATGGATGTTATTAGAACAAGACTTGTCATTCAAAGTCAACCGAAAGTAAGCTTTTAATGGAATTTAATTAATTTTAAGCTAGTAGTTTAGTGAAATTCTTTTTAATTTTGCTCTTTACAGGTTTATAATGGAATGTTTCATGCAATAAATATGATCTGGCATTTGGAAGGTTTCCGGGGGTTTTTTAGAGGACTCGCCGCATCGTTAGCTCAAATTGCTCCTTACAGTGGTTTGTCTAATTTCTCAAGTGTTTAAAACTAAAACTAGCAGTTATTATAAATTTATTTCTTTTCAGGTCTTCAGTTTTGTTTATACAACTCGCTCAGTAATACTTGGAAGAAACTACCAGATTACCTAGGCATGTCATGCATTTTTTTAGTTATTGATCTTTTTTTGAAGCATTATATTTTAAAAATATCTATTGCAGATTCATCTGGACCACTGTGCTGCGGTGCTTTAGCCGGTATAATATCGAAAACAGCTGTATATCCTTTGGACGTCGTGCGACATCGTCTGCAAGTTTGTTCAGTTTTGAAATTCAATATTTTTCGCTATTGTAGCATATTTTATTTTTAAATCTGGTAGCTTTCCATAATTTAATCTCGTTATCATATTCTAGGTTCAAGGATTTGATCGCTTCACTGAAGTGCCTTGGACTTCTACTTATTCTGTACTAAGCAGTATAGTTAAAAATGAAAAAATAACAGGTATTTTTTCCGTATAAACAAATAAAATTCCTTTACCTTATATTCTGTTCTTAGAAATTTTTCTGCAGGTTTGTTCAAAGGAATCTGGCCATCACAGCTCAAAGCTGCTTGTAGTTCTGGTTTTTCGTTCATGTTTTATGAAATTTTTTTACATATAATACGTAGTTTGAAGGACTGCTGATCAAGGAAATCATTTTCTGTATCAATTTACGCAATCTCGTTTTGCTTTGAAGTTATTACTTTTTCTCATAACATCGTACTGATTCAAAACTTTTATCAAATAATTTTGAAAATGACTCATTATTATCCACTTAATTGTAAATTTCTTAACTTAGTTTGTTGGTATCTTTGCTTTCATATATTCGCAATTCAAGGCATTTTTTTATTCATTAGGAATGTGTCATTAAATCATGTTTGTTGTTACCGAAAACTGTTCGGTTACTTCACAAAAATATATATAGATGTATCATTAAGTTTTTTGAGGTCAAGCATATATTAATTAGGTCGATATAATTTAAAGAGGCAACAAGCTCATATTCTGGACTGTACTTTAAAGTTTTGTCGACCTTGTATTATTCAGATTGTGTGTGAAAATCTAGAAGTTTTGGTTTGCATTTTATTTATAGTTGTCGGAAATTTTGTTAAGTACAGTCCAGGATATGACCTTTGTTAAATGATTTTATAATTCAGTCTTATTTTTTGTCATTTTGTTTCAAAACTTTAAAGTTTTAGCGCGCGTGTATTTATATTGATTTAAATTATTCTGAGATTAGGTTCTTCCATGATCGTTTTAGCATTAATATTGTTGAAAATCCCAAGTGTCTTTTCTCATTTTGTAATCTCGTGCTTCTATTCAAAGTTGCATAATATTCTTTCATGTTTAAATTTTGGGCTAAATGCAGTAAGATAGGTATTCTGTTTCCGTATGACGGGTGAAAATTTGTGCCTTGTTATTGTATCAAGTAGTCACTATCATAAAGTATATTACCAAAAATATATTTCTTTATTGTGCTCCATTGCACGCATACTATAGCTATCATTGCTTTTTATATTAACTTCTTCATTGCCATATACTTATGAGGATATTATCAATCCTTTAATATGAGTGTAATTGTATAAATTGGGATGGATATTAAGAACAGAAATCAAAAAGGTCAGGAAATGAATTGCTGAAGTTTTGTCGATCTGATATTATTCAAATTGTGTGTGAAAATCTGGAAGTTTTGATTCGCATTTTATTTATATGAAATGCTTTCCTAAGAAATATGCATAACTTATTTACTAATGAGATTTTGATCCGTGATATTGAGTTGTTTAGTTTTTTGTTCATAGTGCTTTTTTTTTGAGAAAAAGTCCTTGTAGGTTGTAAAATATTTTTTGGTTAGTGTATGATCAAGCATTTAGTAGGATAAATTATTATTATTTCTAAATTTTGACATTCAGGTCTTTATTCTAACTTTATTTCTTTTTAATAACCGTAATTACAGGATTTATGATCTACTAGTTAATCTTAATAACATGAGATGGACATTTCTGAATCTCAGTCAGTTACTTTAGATATTGAACTAGATAGTGGCCGCTATTCAACTGCAGGGATATCGGGTCAGGTATGTTAGATTTACATGCAATCAAACAATGTACAGCTATAATTAATCGTTATTTAATATTAGTCGTCCGTAAGGCATTATGTTTTTGCAAAATTTTCAGGGTAGTAAGAAGTCTTCACTGTTCTCTTTCAATAATCCACCACCACATGCATGGGATTTGGTTCCGCAAATACCTAGAAGCATCACTATTACTGCACTACCAAAGCGTGGGTTGCAAGAAATGGAACTTTGTTTGAATCTTCGTTCACGTGGCTCAATGCTTAATTGGGAGTATGTTGCCGCAGCATTCGGTTTTTCTAATAACAAAATCATGGTTTGTTTATTTTCAAATATGTTTTATTAAAAATTTCCTAATCTGATATGAATATGTGATCATCACATCACAAGTTTCACTAACTTTTATTGAATATTGAAAAGGGTTGTGCTCTTAATACTGAAAAAAGTATATTTATGTGGATATCCAAAACTTTTTCAGCATTTACGAACATCTTCAAATCCAACTGCAGATGTGTTGCGAGAAATAGCAGGTCATCCATTGAAAAGCTTACTTGATGCACTGGCAAAAATCAATCGGGTCGACGCATTGTTATCACTTCAGCCATATATTGAGAGCGCTGTCAGTTCTGGGGGAAAATCAGAAACACCAAGTACTGATTCAGGTCTGGCACATTTTCACAAAATATTTGATTCAGAATTGTGAAACATTTCCACAAGAATTGCTAGAACAAATCAACTTTCTTGTTATTAATACAAAAGTCATTCTTGTTACTCATTTCTTTTATGAATTTTTGCTTACAGGTGCATTCATGAATACCGAGAGGATTGATGATCTTACATGTACTGGATCATGTGGTAGTATAGTGCTTTCTGATACGCGGAATAAAAATGAATTTTCAACCAAGAACTGTAAATTTAGTTTTTTATGTCACAGAAGAAAAAAAAAAGTGTACAAGTTTAATTTTTTATGAAAATGTATTCTCTGCAACTATGAAAAATCCATTATTTATAGTTATTTTGGTGACGCATCATGAGCTCGATACACATATTGCTGTGCGAAATAATTTTCGATGGTTTTTTAAAAATTTAAGGTATCATATAGATGAATTGCATTTAGTTAAGAAACCTATTCAAAAAAATTGGTGAAATTTTCGATTTAATTTTAAGAATCTCATAGTTTTTGTTGCCTTCAGTCACTAAATTTTTTGTGAGATTCGTCTAAGATTTATCAGCAAATATAATGAGTTGTAGTTACGTTATTTATTTTCTAAATTTTCATGTTTTAGAAAGCGAGCTAAACAATCTGGTTTTTTGGCAGTTAACATTGATGATTGTATGGAAACTAGTTGTGAATTTGAGGGCTTACATGCATTATTTGCTAATGTAAGTTGTGCCACGATTAACAATCCTTACAAGTTTAAAGTGGCATTTATTGGCTAGAAGCTTATTATAGCTGCTGTTTAGATCCAGGTTTCATCATTTACTTTATTTTGCACTTAATTTTAAAGCAAAATATGTTGAGTTGTGCTTTTATCTGTAATCTAAAAAGTAGGATGTAATACAGAAAGTCGAATAGAGGCTGAGTTATACTTTTTTTAGGCATCCAGCATTGTTTGTGTGTTCACGGATGACTATGTGGAATTACTGAAATCAAAGAGAAATGAACAGACAGTAATGGTGAAGCAATATTTGCACAAACTAATGAATTCTGAATTTCTAGAACGAGGAGAAAATAAGCGATTCCGTGCTGTCATTTTTCAGGTACTCATTGAATAATTTGTACTTGGTATTAACAAATAATAGAGTGGACTAATACGTAACCTCAATTAAAAGTGCTAGTTTTACATCTTAAATTCTAAGGCCGTAATTATTTCAAAAGTTTGCTGCATCATTTCATGTATTAGTCTTCCCCAATCAAAAGATTTATGACGCATAGGAGAATGATTATAGTTGGAGCTTATTTCTCTGTTGAAGTTGATTTAATTCATAAATTTTGTATTAAATAACTCATGTCTTCAAATGAGTTTTCATTCAGTGGGAAATGCAAAATTATTTGTCGGAAACATAAGAATTTAGCTGTTGCAGGGAACAGGACGTGACTTACTTCCTCTTGGTTGGGCGAAAAGTACATTGGTGTATGAATTCCCTGCAAATCATTTGCAACTCTTTCAAAGGCTGTTTGCTTGACGAACCAAATTTGTTCAGATGTTTTGGGTATTGGTCTAGAAATTTATTTCGCAAATAAGAATGGAAAAATCAATTTACTTTTGTTTTAGAAATCCTTTTCCTGTGTACCGTATTGTTTTATTTTTTTTCTCTTTGATTTTCAGAAAATTTTGTTGTGGTCATCAAAATAACAAATTATAATGATGAAAATGTACCTTCATTTAAAAAATTTTCTAACAGTTTGTTAAAGTGAACACTAAAATTTTTATAAATAAAGAAACCATGTAAAATGTGTTAGCACTGTTTCGACCATCCATTGATGTTGAAAAACATCACTTGTCAATAAATCACATAAAGACTTCCTTTTAATTTAATTTGGCTTACATAATGTCATGACCAAGTTAGTACAGAGTTAGTTTTGATAACAATAACTATCACTAATATTTATTATCGTTCAGTACTGTTATTGATTGTGATAGTTTGTCAGGTTTTACTTTTGATCCGTGCAATCATCCCTTTTTTTAATGAATATATTGTGAGGACAGAATTTATTGGAGAAGGAAAATAGTGAAAAGGTTACTTGCCTCTTGCAAATTAATCTATCCTTGCTGGCTATTACATAAGTTAAAAATAGTAGTCAACCTTGAAAAACAGAATGCATTTCTTCTCGTATTTGAGGTTTAATTTTCTTTACGTCCAATGCAGTGAAGTTTGGCAAGAGGAAAACGCCAATTCTTCTGAGAAAATATCTGTGACATGGTTACATGTATAGCGTTATATTTGATTGTTTGTTACTTTTCATACATCACGTTTTCTGGTTTGCATTATGACCAGAAAGCAACGTTCTTTGATCCCTCTTTATGTTGGTTGATGCTGCTGAATGATAATAAATAACCTGATTGAATTTTTTTGATTTGATAGATAAAAAGTTACTAATAACAAGCCATAATAATAATTAAGAATCTTAACATCTTGCATTTGATTGCTGCGTGGTATTACTCATTATTTAGTTGTTTAATATTGCAATTGTAATAAATTCGATCAACACTAAATTTTATTGATATTTAGTCGATTTTGATGTTCTCAATAAATTTAAAGCAGTTTCTTAAGCATTATTTGATAATCCTAATCACTAATAAATGCTGTAATTTCCAATCTAATGCAAGACTTTGTAACAATTGTAAGCAGCTCATGCATATTTTTTACGTTGTGTACTTTTCTTTAATCAAAGACCAATTTCGTAACTTTGTCTCGAATTTTGGATAGGAATAAAAAGTGTTGCTGAAAACTAGTCGATGCATGTTACGTCACAATCAACGTTTAACAAATTCTCACTGCCAGCGAACTACTATGCACGCATGTGCTGTTAAACAATGAAAAAGATGCAACTTTTGCAATCCTTCAAGGCAATTAATGCATCACGTCCCACTTCCCTTGTACTTGAAGGATTTTCAGGACTTCGTTATCTGTAAGAGTTGTTTGATTATTTTAGCAAAGTAGTTTTCTCTTTGTGGGGAGAACTAATTCAAATTCAGTTTTTTTTTCTTTTATTGAGGGATTACTCTGATAGTGGATACGAGATTTGCACGATATCATAATTGAACGACTTAAGAAGTACCGATATTACAAAGATTAAACTTTGTGTAATTAGTACAACACAGAACTCAATCTCAGCGTACGACTGCTCTCTTGTTAAGGGACTGGGACTATGTCTCACATCGCCTCAGGAGGGCAGTTGCAAAGTAGCCACGAACCTATAAACGATAGGAAGCTTCATATCAGCTGAATTTAATGTCATAAAAGAGAGTAGTTGTGAGTTTTGGTTGGGTCTATTCAAAATTGTGAAGAAGTTCGCTCGGTTTCCGATTTGCATTTGTCGTAAGATATTTATTTTCGTTTACTTTATCGATTTTCTTATCGCACTAATCTTATTTTTAGGGATAGTTTTGCTTGTTGATACTTTCAATGTTGTTTATGGTCAATGCACCAGTGCATTCATTCTTTTTTCACCTGAGATGCAGGTGCGAAATAGTTCTTATTTTAGCTTTTACATTTAATTTTTTCCCGATGTGTCGTTTTCTGCTTTCGTACTTACGAATTTACTGTCTAGAAATTGTTTATAGTACTACGTGTACAAAAGAAAGGAAATTTTTGTTTCTAGTCGAATTTATTTGAAAATTACAATCTATGATTAACAATTATTCACAGGTACGAGTGAATTATTTTACTTTCAGTTTTATTGCAATCTTTTCAACATAGTAGCAAGTTATCTCGGTGTGTTCGAATTCAGATTTTTTTTTTCATTATTACCATTGTTCAATTCATTTTTTTGCCTTATTATTTGGATAGTTGTAGAGTTAGTTAGATGTTAAAAGGAATTAATATAAAGAGATGTAGGTAGTGTCAGACTCACTTATATTATTCGATATGCTTTTTAAGGCTGTAAATAACTTACAAGATGTATTTTAAATATTAGCTCACAATGATGCAGGTTTTGGAATATTTTGTATAAAAGTAGAATATGTTGTATTTAGATCGTTTTAAAAGCATTAAAAACTGTCTGACGTCACATTTTAAAGATTAGATTATGAATGATCAAAAATAAAACTATAACGATGATTATACATATTTCAGACATTAAGTGAGAGATGTGGCGGCAGTAACGTGAATTGCTAGCTAAAATATATTAGTGCGTCATATTCCGCTAACAATTTATTAATAATTCACTGTTTCTTGAGAAGACTGGGTTTCCAGCATAACGGATATCCAACTCATGTATGTTTCCTTTGTTTCCATGTGCTAGTTAACTACTCCTTTAATATTCTCGCTGCTTTCATGTTTCATCATACTTAATCGAAGGAAATCTGATTATTGGTCTCTACTGTTGCATCTTAAATGTAAAAAATTTCATAATGAAAGTAATCGTTTAAATTTGTATGAACTTTTAAACCAAATTATTCATACATAACGCATTGTATATAACCGGCTGCGGTAAATTCTAATCTTCATTTTGCTTAGTTTGGCAACTCTGCACGCACTTTTACGAGACTGCTAGCATTCTCTCTAATATCAAATGAGTAAGCAGTTATTTCCCTCCAAGGGAGATGGTCGTCTGACCACTGTGGTTGCAACTCCTGGTTATGGGCCGGATCGCCAGGTTGAAGTGCAGTACTCAGATACCAAGGTCACTTCTTATTTAATAGTAGTAGAGAATATCCTAAATCAAATTCATATTTTTGTTTTTTATCTAATAACGTGTTACAGTACTTGCTTTTATCCTACGAATACGCCTGTTATAAGAAACCTTTGCTCGCTGTATCAAACTTTTCACAGAACTTCTATAGAGATGTTCATTATCTATAAGTTATCGATTTAGGCTATAGCTCATTTCATGGTTGAGAATTGTTATACGTTGTTTTCAGGTGATAGGTAACGGTTCTTTTGGGGTGGTTTATCTTGCGAAACTTGCTGATACCAACGAGTTTGTTGCAATCAAGAAGGTGTTACAAGACAAAAGGTTTAAAGTAAGTCTTTATTGTCATTGAAGGTTTGGGCTTTGATTAGATGTCAAGCTGTGGATTTAGAGTTTTTGATATCGAAAATCGGCTGTCAAATTGATGGATTGAGTTTGAGACCCGCACGTTTCTTGTACTATGCTCCGTTTTAGAAATAACAGAAAGCATTTAAAAGTTGGAGTAGCTGCTGGTTTCTAAAAAAAAGAAATTGCATCAAGTGATTAGAAATTATGGAGTTTGTGTTGTTTGTGGTTGCAATATCCACCGAAGTTTATTGTTGTTCTTGAAACCACTCAGTATTTCAAAGCATGAACTAACTTTTTTCTGCACTTCCATAAGTTCGATGCGATGTGACTAATCATTATCTTTCTTGCGAGGTATTGTTTGAAGTTCACAAAATCTGAGGATTATTAGCATTTGTGTTGTAAGAATGTGAAATATGACTTTTCATTATTTAGAATCGGGAGTTGCAAATAATGCGCAAGTTGGAACATCAGAATATCGTTAAATTGAAGTACTTTTTCTATTCTAGTGGAGAGAAGGTATTTTTAATTTTATGTAACTCATCATTGTCCGTTTTGTGTGTTTAGTCCATTTAGCATTCTTTTTTGTCAATATGGTTCGTTTTAAAGTTCTAAATTCTGCTTTGTTAATTATAAACTATCAAGAGAGACCATTTGAATGCTTAACTTGAATATTAATAAATAGTTTTCCGGATTTTTAATACATATCGTTGAAAAAAGAGAGTAATCCTCGGTTTCTTTTTTTTTTCAGAAAGATGATTTGTTTTTAAATCTCATACTGGAATATATACCTGAAACCGTTTATCGTGTGGCACGGCATTATTCAAAACAGCGACAGATAATACCAGCACTTTATATAAAGGTATTTTCTAAAATGATTTCTGTTATTAAACATTCATTATTCTGGGAATATTTTCACATTTCTCAAGATTGCAGCTATATATGTACCAGCTATTCCGAGCACTGGCATACATACACAATTTGGGAGTATGTCATCGAGATATTAAGCCCCAGAATTTACTACTGGATCCTGACTCAGCTGTGCTCAAACTTTGTGACTTTGGTTCTGCAAAACACCTAGTTAGAGGAGAACCAAACGTCTCTTATATTTGTTCACGGTATATCTTGAAACGACAATGTTTTTTAGCGTATTTTTGTACGAACTAGCATGTTAATTGATTGCTAGTCGTTGTATTGTAAAACCATAGCGTGTTCTCACTAATTGTCATATTTTCAGCTATTATCGGGCTCCTGAATTGATTTTTGGTGCGACGGACTATACAACAACCATTGGTAAATCTTGTGGTCAAAAAATCATTTGATATGAGTATCGCATAGTTCCTGAAATTTTGAATTTCAGACGTTTGGTCAGCAGGGACAGTGCTTGCTGAGCTTTTGTTAGGACAGCCAATTTTTCCGGGAGATTCTGGGGTTGATCAACTTGTGGAAATCATAAAAGTGTTAGGCACACCAACTCGTGATCAAATACAACAAATGAATCCTAATTATACGGACTTCAGATTTCCGCAAATTAGAGCTAATCCATGGCAGCGCGTATGTATCCTATTATTTATTCTTTTTTTAAAACTGTATTTCACTCTTTATTTGCTTCATTCATTTTATGCTTATATGATGTGCGAAGAACTCTTAAATTACATTTGTCACTTATGTATGTTACTGTCTATTAACCCAATTCAAAATCATATTTTAATGCTGAAGTATTTATAGTTTCAGGTGTTTCGTCCACGTACACCTCCTGATGCAGTGGATCTCGTATCGCGTCTTTTGGAGTACACGCCGAACGCCCGACTGACACCGCTCCAAGCATGTGCTCATACATTTTTCGATGAGTTACGCCATCCCGACTGCAAACTTCCAAATGGCAGAACAGTTCCGCCAATTTTTGACTTCTCTGAACAAGAGTTACGCATTGAACCAAATCTCAATACTGCTCTTCTACCTCAAAATTCTGCACGAGGTTGAACTTTAATTTTGGTAAATTTCAGGTGATATGTTGCTTTTTTTGATGACTTCAGTTTCATCGAATGCATATTATTTTTCACAAACTTTTACTTGTCGTTTTCATGTTCCAGATTTTTAGGAACTGCAGCAGCAGCAGCAGTCAGTTCATCGTCATCACCAGCAGAAGGGGCAGCGGCTCCAGGTAGTTCATCCTCAGCTGTTAATACTGAACCAACTTCAACTGATGCGTGAATTCGTACTTTATATTTCTTTCTTTTATATTTTTGTCTCAACCCGATATTGGAATACATGTCTCTGGAATAGATTATTGTTGGACTATATCTAAAAATTATGGTTATTTTGACAGTAAATCTTTGCCTGTCTTTCCCTACTTCTTCCCTTTTCTGAAATCTGAAATATTTTCTGTACATATTTGCGTAATAATTCTATAATTTCCATGCAAATTTTTTTCACAAAATATTCGTATTAGTTTAATAAATATTGAACCTGATTTTTTCTTAAGAACACTGTGTTGTAAGGGATGAAGACATGTTCATATCGATCTGTTCTCAGACTCTTACTTTATTGATAAGCAGTTCTTCAACTCAGAAAAATATAATTCATTCAATACGTCATTATATTCACATCTTCAGTTTTTTGTTTGTTAATAGCGCATGTTCCGAAAATTTCCGAGGATATAAATTAGCTTTATTGCTCATGTGATGACAGTTTAGATTGCCTCTATTTGAATTTGACAAGTAAAAGCTGTTTGTGAATACTTGAGCCTACGAAAATGTATTAACAGAAGTCTCATTCTTACTTGCAGTTTTGTTTATTTAGATATCTGGTTTAAAATTTTTTAGCCCAACAATTTCTCTAAATGCTAATATAGAAAAGTATTATTTTTTGGCTTGCAAACAATTAATCTATTTAAATACTTCAGAATTGCGTCGCAGTACTTACTATTAACTTGTATTTCGCAATTTTTATTTATCTAGAAAGTCCTGTAAATATTGGTATCTTTAGAGTGCACTTTTCGTAATTTGAATCGGCGTCTGTTTCTACTAATTGAGCTGCGTTAGTTTCTAATAATTGTGCATTTCAGTGAACCAAAAATATATGCATGCACTCACTCGCATCTGCATATATATTTCTTGAGTTATTGTTTTGATCCTTTCTTACGTGGTATATGCTCTGAAATGCTACGAACTGTGTTGGGTTGATAGGTGCATGAGATTACTACCAAGTCAACTCTTTTGTATGGCGTCAAAAATTAATTTTGTTTACAGAAAAAAAAAAGAAAATGGCGCTAAAGAATATCATTGACCTTGTGACCATTCTTACTGCTTCGATTGTACATATTTCTTCAAGTAATAAGTGGAGTTATTTTAGTTCTATTTCTTTTGGTTACGCTATATATTTTTTAATTGCTTCATTATTATTCATTTTAATAGTCAAAGAAGCTAAAGTATCTGCTCTTCTTAAAAGCAATGCTACTTGGTTTTTACAATTTAGTCATTCACACTAATATACTGTATTTCGTCTCATTCATCGGCGTACTTTTGTATGTTCGTAATATATATAGTATCTATGAGCTCATCGTGATATATTTTCCTTTCGTGTATGGCATAAAGAGAGCTCAAAATATTTTCGTTTACTGTCTTACATTTACAGGAATTCATAATTTTCGCTGTTTATAATGAGTTTCGGAATGTGACGTAAAAAAATTTCTAATATAATGTAGTGTTGTCTGGTCAAGTAGAATTTGTAAGTATTGGAAAAAAAATGCGAATTGTCAGCACTCACTAGTGCGTTAATCTTGTGTGGAATAACCAGAGGGTAGGAATGTATGGCACTAAGTATATATTCCTAGGAATTTTTGGCTATATCACATAAGATCTGTTTGTTAGTACAGTGTTCAATGAAGTCTCTTTACACATCGCATCATTGAAAACTACCACATTTTGAATATTGGTATAATGGTGGTAGGCTTATTTCTATTACACTTCACCACTTTGTACTGTTACCGACTTGTCTATTTACTGATAATAAAAATAACACCATGAAGTCATGCTTCAACATGAATTTGATATTAATTGTGAGTAGGGAAAATTTTTTCATTGACATACAGTCATGTGATTGGTTGGAGCTTACGAGCTACCGTCGTATGGTGTATGAGGTTTAGCGACAATGATAGTTATAACGTTAATGATGACAATTGTTAATTGAGGTTCCTGCATCCAACTAAATATTAGAAATTGTTCACTTTTACATTTGACAGTGTAGGCATACATGCATTTACAGATTTTGAGTGCAGAACTTGAACTTGATATGCTTGCCCAGAAAAATAAAGTATTTGATGAATCGAAATACTGTGCACAAACAAACAACATTTGACAATAGACATCATGATATCACCAGAATTTATGTAGAAACAAATTCTCGTTACTTTTCCTGACGCCATGGATTCACTGCTGTTTTTCATTAATATCCATCCCGACTCAGTTATGTGTGAAGAACGAAGATGTTTCCTGTTGTACTAACAAAGAAGTGATCTTTAATACTTGGATTTTTATGCCAGAATTTGTGTGTCATCATAGCACTTGCCTTCTGAGGAATATTATATTTAGATAATACGCAAAAGGAGAACTGAAGGATTTTTCTTACATCATTCACGTTCCGCACTCATCTATAACTGCAATACGGTAATGAGTTTTATAAATCTGTGAAATGTGCTCATAGTACTTCATTTCAACTTTATATCTGAATCTAATATTTAAAAATGATAATAATAAATTCACAGATCCAAGGAATTGAAGTATGTAATTGCTAGCACAGACGTAATTTTTAGCAGACAACATCATTTCCAGCTAGATCTCGACTTACTCTCAATGGCATAAAACCGATTTCTCCTTTATTTGGTCCTTTGTTTTCAGCCAATACATGAATCTAAAAAAACTGTCTCCAAATTAAAGACAACTTGGACAATGAATAGATAGATAATAGCTCTAAGATTTTTGATCAAATTAGTATTCTGAAATTGTTAAATCAAATGTTTCAACCTGATATGTTCCTACTGGCAGTTCAGCACATTTCAGATTCCATCGTCTGCTTTCCTATAAATAGTTCTCGACTGAATAATTGACTAAAATTTAGGAATTCGATATTTGTAATAGAACAACTTTTATTCACTTATTATTATTTTTTAAAAGCTAATATGTAATTGAATACCAAACATACCTTTACATGATTATCATTAAGAATATCAGTTTTCGAGTAAAAACATCGTTTACCAAATTTATCAACGCAAATTGCAAAGCGAGCTCCACCAAGAGAAAAATATTCATAAAAGCAAAAGTAAAGAGGTTGTTCCCGGGTAGATACAGTGATTCTAGGGCTAATGATGTGATGGATAGAACTATTGAAATTATTATCATAAGATGCTACTAAAAATCCCTTGGATCCAGAAGGTGGCATGACAATGCCAGTTAATGGATTTGAAAAACTATCAGTTCTGGTCCAAATCGACCATCCAACTATACCATTATGCCAGCCACAATCTTTTTCTACAAATTTTTTCATGTAGACGGCATTATGTTATTTAAAATTATGACTGATTGTCGCCCAAATATTATCAGAAATCAACAGGTGTATAAAATAACCAATCATGTTGACATAATCTAGTGAGCAGACACAATATAAATAATTTAAATTTCATGTCTGCAAAACCATGTTTAAACACTATGCACTTACAAGGAGAAAAATTCGGGCTTACAATTTCTTGAAAGAAAAATTGCAATTATAATTTATGAATAGCTTTACCAGCAGGATTACAGGAGAGTTTCAAGCATACAGCCATAGCTGAATCCATTTGGGATGGTTGAGTGAACTGTGAAATAGATGACGATCGCCAGTCAGAAATTTCTTGCAGGGAATTCAATTCCTGAACATCTACAAGTGTATCCATGGAATCCTGGAAGCTGTTTAAAGGAATCGGTCGTCCTGATTGTTGCTTCAGTAGTTTATCGGAATGGGTAGAACTAGGTATAACTTCTGCTGAGCAGTCTGACAACACCTCACCATCGACAAAGATGTCTTGAACAAATAATGCTCCTCCGTATGTTCCAACAAAATTGTCACCCACCAAGACAATCTAAAATAGGATAATAGCTCCTTGTTGAAAATAATAGTTTCACCATTTTGAGGTGTATATTATTATTTTCAACGTTTCATGCTAAAAAAATAATTGTATTCATACTTATCACGTAAATTGTCCAAGTTTCTTGTTTACTGATAAAATTATAGTTTCTGTTAGCTAAAACGAGAATGCAGAAATAAATGATATAATTCTGAGTTTTAATGCTATGATTCTTAATGACTGAATGTGCATAGCCATGGTAATAAATTTCTATGATATTTTTTGTCCTTAAAAATTTATAAAATTTGGACATACCTGGGCAGGAGTAGTAGGATCACGTGGTTCAGGTACATTCACAGTAACCGGTATACCATTTTGTATTGGAAATATATTGCAATTAGAATTAGGTAGATTACTATGCACATTACGGCTGCAAATCTGTAAATTTGGTTGTTGTTGAATTGGATCATTTACAGAAGACCGCCACACTGTAGCCGTCAGTTGTATTGGTGATACTATACAGGGTAGTGTATCGGAAACCAGTTGCCCACTATCCCATGCATTCCGATTACCAGATATAAGAACTGCTGCCGATGAATCTTAAAATCAGTAAATTTAGCTTTTAAACTTGATAATCAAATCGTTTTTAGAACAAAATTGATAAAATATCCAAAAAGCCCACCAAAAGCATTAAAATTTGGAAACATAAAAAACCTTCTAATTTAAATTTCTTTATTATAAGTTTTGACGTGAATGAATAAAATTATCATATACTTTCGTGATTCGTATAACACAATATTTAATTGACTTTTAAATCAGTCTTGCAACTAATATACAGATATTAGCAGAAAGAACCAAACTTATTAAATTTAATCATAAAAAAATTAAAGCGTGTAAGCAATAAAAATGTGCAAAGATTATTAAATTTTGACCAGGAATAAGAGATGTTTGTAATGCTGTAACCCATGGTTCAACTTGTGGCGTAGATATCAACACTGTCCAATCTAATTCGTCTTCATTTGTATTAGACCACCGACAATTTTCATCAAATCCACGGCAGTTTAATTCGGAAGCCACTTGTATGAAATCCAAATTGGTTTCTACATCTGATGATGAAGCATAGGGTGGTGGATAATTATCATCGATCATATTAGAATTAACCGCATCAACATGTGGTCGTGAGGGATCTATTTAGAATCATATTAGCATTATAAGTTTTGAATTTAAAAATTATTATTAGTAAATATTTATTCAAAAAAGTTACGGTATATTTTTTGACTCAAACACTGCAGGAAAATAGAGAAACAAAACTTTAAAAAAAATTAACATTTAATATTTATGCATTCATCAAATATTGTAATATACTAGGAATAAATATTCGACTGTAAAGAAATCAAATAAAAAGCAAAAGCAATCAAAGTTTTTAAAAATATTAAACCAAGACTACGGTTAGTTTTTTGAATATTCGGAAATATATTTATTATTCAAACTTTGCAATGGCATGCCATGTTTTTCATAGCTTTTTTGATGCATCATATGGCTAGCTAACATATTTTTTTCAAATTACTGTATATTAAGATCGAAAGGTTTAGTAGTTATGCTATTATAGTTTTAAATAAGACTTTTGACTATTATGTAAACATTATTATTACCATAAATACAAACTGATATTAAAAAACGTTTAATGATTGAACAAATATTCAGCAAGTACCTGACATAGCCATAGGATAATAAGAGCCAATTCCGTATCCTGCTGGTGGGAAGCATCCTTCACCTAAGCAATTCAAACAGTTCTTGAATTGATGTTCGCTAATTTTATGTTCTAGCATAAATAACATTACTAATGATGAAAATACAATTCAGTAAAGGAAAACATATTTACTTGAATATATTGAATTGATATTAAGCAAGAGCGGTGTTTTTTCAAATATTTTTTATATTCTAAATTTAATATTTGCATCATAAATATTTCCAAAAAACGATCTATTCTAGGAACAAACATAAACTGTTCACTCGATTTTTTTATTTACAAATTTGCATAGTTTCTGAAATAACAGAAATACATCAGATTAAATTTGTTTTCACTACAGTACAAATCAAATAGATTTAGAATAGTATTTACGCCAAGTTCTTTTTGAACTTTCCTAATAAAACAAAAAAATTCAAAACATCTGATTGAGAACAACTATTAATTGATTCCAAGAAAAACTTATCTACTCATTATCATTATTAATTTTAATCAGAAGTAAATAAAAATTAATAGCTTGCAAACAAATGTGCATTATTCCTTGATTTTTTGCTTATTACTATCCCAACATTATAATTATATAAGTTAGAGTTAGAAAAATCACTCCAAATTATGATCGACCCAAATTATCACTATAGATACAATGTGACTGTAGTAATAATTTGGATAGATCATACTATATCTGATAAACATTGTGACAAGAATATAAAGGAGTAACTTACATATGCGCAGAAAAGATGACAAATAGTAGAAAGAGCAATAAATGAAAAGTAATGACGATTCAAGTATCATCACTTTACTTGAACAGTATCAACTTCAATTTGCTACAATAATCTTTCCACAATTTGGCTCTTGACAGTCCTATAGACCCACCTTTCACTCACCCATATAGAATATTGTTGGATTCTGTATTCACATCATCATAATTTCATACTTAATCTTTCATACTCCATTTAAATCGCAAGCAACTAAATATTTATTTCGTTTAGTTCAAATCTGTAATAATATTCTCTCTCATCCAACAATCATTAATTCTTTCTTTCACGTATTTTTCACTTACTGTTCAATTCATTACTCATTCCACACGTACCTCAATTTTCTCACGTTAAATCTATTCATCTGTTCATCCATAACTTGCTGTGCAAAACAATCTCAGCTATTTATTCCTTTTACCTCACTTTCAAAATGATTTTATTCAGGGCTACTTTCATGCAGTTTTCCAAATTACGAGTGATTAGGGACAGTTTCACTTAATATCTTGTACAAATAATTCTTTCAAATTTCTGTATGCATTTAAATGATGTAATTTTGATTTCAAGCAATTAAAAAATCACCTTATGAAACTGATCAGTAGAAAATCTTACAGTGTAGCTAAAGTTAATAACTTTATCAGTAAATAATAGTTCTATCTGTTTAGAATATTTTAATTCCTTATTCATGATTGAATTAGGCATCGACAGATCTCAACAAATACTGCTATTAAGTACTAAGTATCATTTCATTATTTTCAATGAATGAAAAATATATCAGCCAAGTAGATTCATATATTTAATCCTAAATTGAATATTCAAAAAAAAACTTTTTTTTTCCTTGCTATTAATCCATTGTGATTTATATGCATATGGTGCTTTGTCATTTTTGTATCCATAATTATTTGGTATCTTTTGCAAAATTAGGCATTTTGGCAAAAATTAAATTTATTGGACATATATTTTGAAAACATATGCAATTATGTATTTTAAAGATTAAAAAGCAAACAGCATTATTTGCATATGAATGAAAGTCCATAAAATGTAAAAAATTTTAAGCTTTACTGAAAGCATTTATCACAACACAATAATTAATAAAAGTTGCACCACAAACGTACTCAATTCCAACCAATATATTTGATTATTCATAGCATTTTATATTACTATCTCACAAAATTATCACCTAGTTCAAAGCTGTAAAATTTGCTTTAATAACATGTTGAAAGCATTACTAAAATTAGCACATAAATGATATGAATAAAAAATTTATCACTCAAATTAATGATAATCACTAATTACTAAACAATAATTTTCCTTTTATCAGTAATTAATTTCAAATTGCAATGAATGATAGATTCTGAAGTTTTTCACCTCATTAAAATTGCAGCAATATTTACTCACAATAGTTTTTTCAATCACTAACAACATGTCATGCAGAATACAATTTTTGGCGAAATAATTGTCCCTCAAGCTATAAAAGCAATAATATAAATTAAAATAACACTACACAAAATTACTCAAAGTTAATTTAAAAAATATTTCAAATATTTTGCAAAAAGAAATAATTCATTTCAAATTTAGTATCACATATATAGACCATAGAAGCATCAAAATCAATGCTTATATTTTTCAAAAATATTTAACAAATAAAAACTATTCCTTTCATAAATTGCACTCCAATAAAACGAACGAATAATAGTTTTAATTCATCCCCTAAATACTATAATTAATAATTCATCCTCTAAATACTATAATTAATAATTCATCCCCTAAATACTATTAAAGAATTTGCCATTTGACGAAACATAACAAAAAAAAGCTTTATATTAAGATTGCAACTGTAAAATAGTGACAAATACAAGTAAATAAATATATCGCATGAAAAATTGGAGGAAGCATAAATTTATGGCAGTGTATTTTGGTAAATACTTGATAAGAGCAAAAACTTGTACTGCTTTTCTTTTTATTTCTAATGTACACACAAAATGCACATTTACTACATCATCCGATTATTTCAGTTATATTAGCTTCTTAAAAAAAATAGATTGTCGCTTTAATTCACTGCACCAATAAACACTTTGAGTTATTATTGTCGAATATGATCTTGTGTAAGCAAATATTAATAATCAATGGCGAATAAATCTATCAAACTTAACTTTCTACAGACAGGTACTTGTAGTCTTTGAAAATTCTGCTTCCTATATTCTTAAATTCCTTCCACTTTTTTCTCAAGAAAAAAATGAAAGGATTTTTAATACATTTACTGTTGACAAATTACTTTAGTTATTTCATTTATGAAAGAGAGCAAAAAATAGATAGATAAATAGATAAATAGATAGATAGATAGATAGATAGATAGGCAGATAGATAGATAGATAGATAGGCAGATAGATAGATAGATAGATAGATAGATAGATAGATAGAGATCGAGAGACGAGAATGTGAGAAAAAATATGTGCAAATATATTACAACGTCATAATAGCTTCAAAATTATTCTGCTATTTCTAAATCAACTGTTAGTAATACATAAATGAAAAGCTTAAAAAATGAAAAATGTGATATTGGCAAAAAAATTGAAAAAAAGCAGTGTTTGCATTGCCATGTAATGTAACGAAGTACATTACGAATGTTGTCAAAAATTTGCATAAGTATGAAAATTTGCATATCTTTGTTCAAATCGTCAAAACAAACGGTAATAACTATAAAAAACTGTAATTAAGCACAACAAACTGCTATCAAATATGAGCAGTACAGTTCATATTTTCAATAAATAATATGATTATTAGCGCAATAATTTGTATCTAAAAGCAGATTTATTTTTAACATTAAAAATCAAATTTTTGAATAAAATGGTCTTCAATTATTTACTTGAAACATATTTCATGTGATTACATTGAAGAATAAATAAATATTAAAGACGTTGTATGAGAAATAATACATCTAAAAAAAGCAAATTATTTTCATCTGCATGAATTTTCTAAAAATTATAACTACAACATAGTAAACTGCTGAAATTCTTAACAGATTTTATTAATTTTTCCAAAGAGAATTTATGAATGCTATAGAAACAACGCAATCACTGTTTCAGTTTTCAGTTCGCAGAAACTTTTAATCGAATTTATTTTATAATCGCATAAAGTGAAAGCAAACCCAAGCCAAAAATATGGTAACTGATGAGAACGAAATACTTATTGTGCCACATCTGCAAACTACTTAACGATGTAAAACAACAAGTTGAATATAATTTATTGCTAGGGAGATAATTTAAAAGAAAGTCTACAATTTATTTTTTTATACAAAAGAAAACCTTAAATACTTATACTACATTTGTTTACTTACCTTTCACCAGCTGGGCATTTCTTCTCACAAATTTCACCATAAAAAGAGTCCTTACATTCACATCTGCAATTCATTTTTTTATCATTTTTAACACAACATAAGAAGCAGCTAAACTATGTTATAGTAATGTAAATAACCAAAAATTTTATCTATCAATTATAAATTGTTGAATGAAAATTTGACACTCGGCATATTAATATTTTAGACAATTCACATAAAAGTGATTTTAGATACAACAAAAAATAATTTTTAAAAAATTAAAAAATAAATATGATGCATAGTTTAACAATACATTCAAAAGTAATTTTTATAAAGCACATTTAGAAATATCATTTTGAAAAATTAATGAGGCAGTAATGATATCTGAGTAATTCTTAAAATATCCGAATTAAATTAGGAGAAAATTGCGAACCTTCCATCGACTAAATCGCCATCATTCTTGCATTTGACAATCTTATCACAATTATCACCTTCATATTCATCAGCACAACGGCATCTATCGCCTGCATTACGCCATCGCCTTTCAAGCTCTTCAATTTTAACACTTTGTACCAAATAATGACAAAAAATGCAAAAATTTCAGCAAAAAAATGCTACAAAATAGACATAAAACCATGTTAACTCTGCTAATGATTCCTGACTATAAACTGAACAAAAACAAACTTTTTATTTGATATTGAGTATTTGAGAACTTGAATTTTCAATTACTCAGGTAAATTTTCATCAAAATATTCTGAGCTCGCTGACCTTTTGGAGCCATGCGCCAACATGCAAGTCGTTCGCAGTGTTTGCCATCCCAAGGTGCCCAACAAATACATTCAATTTGTCTTGAACCAATAGCGATTGTTCCGTTATGTTGGCATGAATTTGGTGTGCACCTGAAAATGTCTCTAATATGTTATTTTACAATCTTTTAATAAGCTTTTCCTATCGGTAGAATAAACATCATATGCTTTCATAGAACTGTAATATTGTAAATCATGCTAATTCATATAGTTATTTTTGGTGAACGTTTATACAGCCATACTCAATGAGACTTTAAAAATGTGCAATTAGTTTTGTGCAAAAAATAAATTAAACTGAAAAAAGAAGTAATATTGAAATGAATGACAGCTGTAAATTGAAGAAAAAGCAGATAAATTTAAAAGTAGTGTGTGCACTTCTAAAAAATATACAGAGTGCATATGTTTAAAAAAAAAGTTTCTTCAATTGTGCTAATGAAACATAATAAATGAATTCAAACATTTTCACTCTCCATCTTTTTTTTGAATAACCTTACTGACTTAATATAAAAATTTATTTTGAATAAGCAAAATTTTCTTCATTTCTGAGAATTTATCAAAATTGTATATTTAGATGATTGTTGAACTAACACGCTATTGTAAAGGGAGAATCCTGTAGGACATCCATGATATTCGTTGCATATAGGTCCTTTCCATCCAGGTTTACATTCACACTGACCATTTTTCATTTTTCCATGCACTAAAACTTAATAATTCTATTGTAAACATATTTTGAACTAAAAATTTGAAGTATATTCTACACAATCAATGATAATATGAATATATTATTTCATTTGTTGATAAAAACAGATACACAAAATAATATGACAATTTGGTAGCTATCTTAACAATCAAATTAATATGAAGTTGAAAATTTTGATGCTTTATTTATCAAAATTATCAATTTTATATTCATATGATTTAAAATACAGAATCAGTGTAAGATTGATACAATTAAATAAATTATAAGAATAACACAAATTTCTTCACCTCTTAACGAGCGGCATTTAATTTCTTCATATTCTGAGCTAAATTCTTCACCTCCAGCTTTGGCTTCTGAGTACTTATCACATTTTTCCAAGCTTCCATCAACAATACCATAACCATAATAAGAATTTGAACTGCACCCTTCTGGTATCAAATTTAGAGCTATCAAATCAACGTAAGCATCATCCTTATCCTTATGTCGTTGTTGACATTTTACAATTGATGATGTTAAAAACATAATTAGAGCAATCAATTTTTCTAACGTTCTGAATTTCATCGCTGAAATTTTCATTCTAAAATTACAAATTAATATTTTACAAACAATAAAAAAGACGCTATCAAGGACAATAATATACGTATAATATGATTTTAAATTATAATCGAAATCAAAATATTTTTGAATTATGATACAGTTTGTTGAGAAATGCAATTGTATAAAATGAATTAAATTTGATTAAAATAAAAATAGAAGTGAGCACTTTTTTTTTAGTTAGAAACAATAAAAATAGCTCAGTTATATTTTATTTTTTAAAGCATTAAAAAATATGCCTTGTTTACACTGATTACTTTGGGACTAGAATAGTATGCTAAAATTTAATCAAGTTATAGATGCTATTTGTTTCAACGTGCCATATCTCGGAACTGCTACTTTTTGCAGTTTCCTAGTATATAGCTAACAAAAGATTCGTAATAAACTTTAAACTGGCCTTGGAGTTGATGAAAAAGCGACACGAAAAATATAGCACATCTTATCATAAATAATCTTGGAACAGAAAATATGCTGAATGAATATCTTGGATGTTTTTAAAATCTATTTTTTTCTCATCTTATTACATCTTGTTACACCATTAAAAAGATAGAAAAAAGCAAACTATAAACAAAAATAACAATATAAATTTAGTTTTTCTTAATTCGCTAAAACTAAATTATTAAGATTTTCTTAACTTCTGCAAAATTATCTCACATCAAAACTCCGTAATTAAAAAATAGGAGTGATTTTTGATTATTTTTTAAATTGCATAAAAATATACGGTGCAAAGTTTAACTGCTATTTCATTTTAATATGTGAGAATTTATGTAATCACTGTATCAAAAAAATTATCAAGAAAAATAACTGACCTTAATCAAGGTAATATATTGGATTGTAAAGCGAATTTCAAGTGTGATTTAATTATATATATCTATATTAAATGCTTCAGTTTGTTCCTTGAGCTACTTTTTTGCAGTAATAATCCAATAAGTAAATAATGTTAGAACTAAGAGTTTAGAAGCAAAATATGCAATGAATAATCTTAATAAATTTTTTCGCAAATTATTGAATTGCTTTTCTCTCACTTTTTCGACTATTGAGACAACTTGCATAGAGTAAGTAATATATGCTGTCTGATACTTCCGAAACATGCTTTCTCTTAAATTTCACTTACTGCTCTTATTTAATCATCTATTTGTTGTTAATTTATAAGATATCAATTTAAATAGGAAATCATCAAACTTCTAGAATCCATCATGAGATGAAATGGTAAAGTGCTTAGAATAACTATGAAAAAGAGACTAATATGAGCTTATAAAAATGAAACCATAAAATACATTATTGAACGATGTCTAAACTTTCAAGTTTTGCTTTCTGAAAACTTTATTTTATGCTATTCATATTCAGTTGATCAACTATTCACTCGTTTTATCTGAGTGTATTTTAGAATTTAAATGAAATTTCAAATATGATACTATGAATAAAATTAAGATGCATCCGAAAAGTGCAATAAGCACAGGATGTGCAGGAAATAAAGCTTATTGTGGGATGCACATTACTAACATCTGTCATAATTGCTAAAATTTTTAAAAATATTACCATTAGAAGATTTTTTTTCACATAAGCCCAATATGTTTGTAAAGAATTATAAAGAAGTCGAAAACTTGTATGTCTTTTCTGCTTTTATTTTTGCCAAACGTTTATTTTTTATTTTTTTTGTCATATCTGAAAATGCACGCTAAAAAGAGTTTGACTGAACTTAAAATAGTTCACAATTGGAAGAAATATATATTCATTACAAACTAAAAACGCAATTATCTCCAAAATGCATTGGTAAAGTAAAATTGAAGAAAAAGATAAGAATAAGGAAATAGAGTAGAAAGAATAGAAAGTTTAATTGAAATTAGTTGATCACTTGATCACTTTACTTTTATTCAATCCTAATTAAAGTTTTTCTTAAAAAAAAGAGAGATAAAATGTTAACTTAAATAAAGCTAGCTTAAATATGGGGCTAGCAGCAGCAATTGAGGATATATTTTTCTTAATTCTAAAACGAATAAATTCAAGAACGAATCAAGCCCACAATGAATGTCTTCGAGAAAAAAAAAAACAAGAAAAAAGAAAAGAAATAGGAAATGAAAAAACAAATAATATGAGAGAAACTTCCCAATCTAAACCCAAAATATACAAGTTTAAATTCATTTATTTTACAAGAAAAGACACATTTAATTTATAATTTTAAAAAAGAAGGCGTTTTCTAATCAGAGAAATTTCTGCGACAAATATATGAGTAGAGTACGTATAGTTGAAATGCAGCTGTTAGCAAGACTGCTTGTTACATGCAATATAAAATATGCTTAGAACATTTTAATTTTTATTCATAAAATTATAAGAAAATTTCGCTTAGATGTAATAAGTAATTTTTAATTTATGTTAAGGATTGGTTTTTACTTTTTTTATAAGTAAATCACAGACCAAAATTGTAAATTTTTAAATAATAATCTCATACGCAAAGATAACTTCAAATGACAATTAGGCAGAAATTTTTATGCTATATTCATAAAATGAGAGACCATTAGATTTGAATTATTATTAATATTCATCAATCATTTTTGATTTAGCTCGATAAATGATTGAAAAATATTGCTACAATCACTATATATTTGAAATAATATACAAACGCAAATACTACATTAGTTTCTTGCATTCTGTTAAAAACTTTGCAAATTATTTCTTTATTTATGATAGTAAAATATGGTCTATTATTATTGAGATAAAGAAATAAGTAAGTTTTTGAATGATAGACACAAAAGCAACTGATAATTGATGGTCATCTTTCATCTGACGTATACGCACAAATATATTCCTCTGCTTATTTTCAATCTTTCTATTACTTTTCTATGACTCCTGACTATTCTGCACAAAAACGGCAAAGTTATTCATTCGGTTGTAGTTAATAATTGCTCAAAATTGCAGCGAATAATTTTTTGAGGAAAATGAAATGCAAAAAAAAAAAAATGCATTAATCATTTGTTTCTATTCTTCTTAATAGGGAAGAAAATTATTTATCAGTTACTCAATTTAAATTAAGTTTTTTAACGTAAATTTATTGAAATTTTAAATCGATCAGAAGATAATTTTCTAATTTATCATTAAGATAATATATGGCATTCTTATTTTATTTATTGTTAAAATTCATTGTTTACATGAAATAGGAAATAAATAAATAAATAAATAAAAATACTTTTACCACTTCTTTCCCATAGATGCATGCATATAATTAATAAAATAATAATAATGTCAGAAAAGATTATTTTATTCAATCCTCTAGATTAAAATGAAAAATATTAGCTATTTACTTTGAGATACAATAAAAATATAAAAATAATTACATATTCTTCAAACTAAGCATAAAGTAAATGAGAATAATATTTTTGTTCTTAACAACAAAATAAAAGATAAAATATAATAACTGTGACTAAAAGGCACTTGAGAAGTACACGTCTTCTTTTCTTCAGGAAGTACTTTCCTAGCTAGCGTGTTTATGAAAATTTTGCAGGCTTTAAGTGTATTTGCATGTTTTCACGATCACGAAAAATGCCATAGCATCTAGTGAACTTACATATAGCTTTATCTTTCACCCTTCACCCTTCCGCTTAACTTCACAAATTTCCACTTTTTTTTGCAATTATGAAAAAAGTAATTAGAAAAAAAAGAATGGCTAATCAATTACTTGAATTTTCATGCAGCATTAACGATGATTTATCATTGAAGCTTTTCAATAAATGAAAAAATAAAAATTTGCATTCTCTTCGATTATATGCTTTCGTTAACATTTCATCGCATTAAATCACTGACAACAAGAAGAAAAAAGTTACAAATATAAAAGCTTTAACTGTTTACTGCAAATCAAAACTGAAAATGAAATTAACGTTAAGAAAATGCAAAGTGCTAAGTGTCAACGCGAATATAAATTTGTCAAAAAGTCAATAAGTGAGCTAAATAGTAAATGAAATGACATCTGAACTCAAAAAAAAAAATTACATAAAGCTATTTATCAACTTTAAATGAAGGTAATGACATGCATTTCATCTCATTACCATACATATAAATCCTGCTCTCTTAACTAAATAATCTTTCATCAATGTGTCACTAGTTCAAAGTTCAAAGTTTAAAGTTTAAAACTAAATAATAACATATAAGATGTTAAGTAAACGATTAGTATAATTTGTACATTCTTATGAAAGTTCGATGATTACTTTACTTGCAGTTAGTTGTATGCGATGATTTCAGTCAAAAAGATTTCAGATTTATAGTTGCTACATTATTTTGGTAGAAATGTTAAAAAATTATTCTCGTCGTCTCTGCACGCAGTAAAGATTCGATCTCGTAACTTTATTGTGAGATGAATGAGTGAGTAATCACCACAGCAAAAAACGAATAATGACCACTAATTGGTGCTTTAAATGACTATAAACGAGCAAAATATATTCTAGACGTATTTTCTTTAAACCGGAATAGCATAAAGTAAAACTGCAAATACAAGTATTTGTAAACTTTAAAATTGTAATGCTACAAAAAAATTTACAATGGTGAATGACCTGAAGTACAGTCTACTCAACAATTCTTTAATTTCTCATTGAAATACATTTAAATAAATAAAGATGATTATTCTGTTAGCATTCAAGTGATTTTTGATTGTCCATTGATTAAAATGACAATTTATAAAATAATATCATCTATAATATAAGGCAAATACAAGATTATGATGTATTCAAATTTTGAGAATATTTATCAGTACGCAAATTCCAGAAAGAAAATTAACAGTGTAAAATGAAATTAAGTAGAAACGCTGAATTTGGCAGTGAGCTGAAAGTTGCAGACATTTTTGAAAAAAATAAGCATATGCTTTTCCGAAATATATTTGACGCTTATTCTATGGACATTGTTCGTGAAACAAATAAGTTACATTTGATATATGAAATTTTAATTTCACTGATACTTGTAAAAAAAAATGTCTCCAAAAT